ATCCTTGTCCTGCCATTCTGTCATTTATTTCCGATGGCTGTCAGAACACTCTTCCTAAAGCACAGCTGTCAGAAGAATTTAAACATGCTGATGCAGAGGCCAGGCACAGTGACTCATGCCTGTCATCCCAGCTCTTTGGGAGGCTGAGGTGGCTTGAACCCGGGTGGTGATTACAGTGAGCCGAGATTGTGCCACTTCACTCCAGCCTGGGCGACAGAGCAAGACTTTGTCTCAAAAACGAAACAAAACAAAACAAAACAAAAGGACCACAAATGGCACCAACACCTAGAGCCCTCCCATGCTGCTCTCCTCAGGAATCCCCAGGCTCAGGCCTCATGTCTATCACCTTCACAGAGAGGCCTTCCCTGACCACCTTCACCACCACCACAGCACCCCTGCTCGTGCTAATGCACTCTACACCTGCACCTGATTTCTCTCTCTTTTTTTTTTTTATTTTTGAAGACAGAGTCTTGCTCTGTTCCCCAGGCTGGAGTGCAGTGATACAATGTCGGCTTACTGCAACCTCCACCTCCCCAGTTCAAGCAATCCTCCCACCTCACCCTCCTGAGTAGCTAGGATTACAGGCAGGTGCCACCACACCTGGGTCGTTTTTTTATATATATATACTTTTAGTAGAGATGGCATTTCACCATGTTGGCCAGGCTGGTCTTGAACTCCTAACCTCAAGGGATCCATCCACCTCAGCCTCCCAAAGTGCAGGATTACAGGAGTGAGCCACCGCACCTGGCCGTACCTGCTTTAGTATTTATTCTTCATAGCGCTCTCCACCTCATGTGCTGTCTGTGTTAATGGTTTGTTTATGGATCGCCTGTCTCATTCCCCCTTATTAGAATGATGGATCCATTAAGAGAGCAGCAACTTTGTTTTGCTCATTGATGTTTCCCCAGAGCCTGGAACCCTGCCGGGTATATGATAACCAGGCAGTAGTTATTCATAGAATGAATGAATGGAAGAATGAATGAATGGCTGGGTGCTGTGGCTCATGCTTGTAATCCCAGCACTTTGGGAGGCTGAGGTGGGTGGATTGCTTGACGTCAGAAGTTCGAGACCTGCTTGGACAACGTGGTGAAACCCCATCTCTCCTAAAAATAAAAAACTTAGCTAGGAATGGTGAAGCACGCCTGTAATCACAGCTACTCGGGAGGCTGAGGCAGGAGAATTGCCTGCACCCAGGAGGTGGAGGTTGCAGCGAGTCGAGATCATGTCACTGCACTGTAGCCTGGCAGAAAGAGACTGTCTCAGAAATAAATAAAAATAATTTTAAAAAAGAATGAATAAAAGAAAAAAGGACTAGACAGAAGGAATACGTTACAGTAATCAATAGTGCACAAGGGAAATTACAGTGAATGAGAATTTATTTGAATATTTCAAGATAGCTAGAAGAGAATGATTTTCATGTTCCCAAAACAAAAGATATTTGAGGTGATGACTGTCTCAATTACCCTGATTTGATCATTACATATTGTCCCCAACCCTCATGGCCATGGATCAGTACCAGTCTCTAGCCTGTTTTTGTTTTTGTTTTTTCTTTTCTTTTTTTTTTTTTTT